CGGTAACATGCACACCAAGAGCATTGCCTGCCTCTCTCGCGCATCCTTGCTCAAAGCCTCACAAGAACGAACAACCAGTAACTCCACCCCGCACCTCGCCGCCTCCTAGTCCCCCTCCCCCTCTTTCACCCCACAACCCAGCTTGTGTGAGTGTGACAGCACTGCACACCAACCACAACTGTACACCAACCACAACTGCACACCAACCACAACTGCACACCAACCACAACTGCACACCAACCACAACTGCACACCAACCACAACTGCACACCAACCACAACTGCACACCAACCACAACTGCACACCAACCACAACTGCACACCAACCACAACTGCACACCAACCACAACTGCACACCAACCACAACTGCACACCAACCACAACTGCACACCAACCACAACTGCACACCAACCACAACTGCACACCAACCACAACTGCACACCAACCACAACTGCACACCAACCACAACTGCACACCAACCACAACTGCACACCAACCACAACTGCGCACCAACCACAACTGCGCACCAACCACAACTGCGCACCAACCACAACTGCACACCAACCACAACTGCACACCAACCACAACTGCACACCAACCACAACTGCACACCAACCACAACTGCACACCAACCACAACTGCACACCAACCACAACTGCACACCAACCACAACTGCACACCAACCACAACTGCACACCAACCACAACTGCACACCAACCACAACTGCACACCAACCACAACTGCACACCAACCACAACTGCACACCAACCACAACTGCACACCAACCACAACTGCACACCAACCACAACTGCACACCAACCACAACTGCACACCAACCACAACTGCACACCAACCACAACTGCACACCAACCACAACTGCACACCAACCACAACTGCACACCAACCACAACTGCACACCAACCACAACTGCACACCAACCACAACTGCACACCAACCACAACTGCACACCAACCACAACTGCACACCAACCACAACTGCACACCAACCACAACTGCACACCAACCACAACTGCACACCAACCACAACTGCACACCAACCACAACTGCACACCAACCACAACTGCACACCAACCACAACTGCACACCAACCACAACTGCACACCAACCACAACTGCACACCAACCACAACTGCACACCAACCACAACTGCACACCAACCACAACTGCACACCAACCACAACTGCACACCAACCACAACTGCACACCAACCACAACTGCACACCAACCACAACTGCGCACCAACCACAACTGCACACCAACCACAACTGCACACCAACCACAACTGCACACCAACCACAACTGCACACCAACCACAACTGCACACCAACCACAACTGCACACCAACCACAACTGCACACCAACCACAACTGCACACCAACCACAACTGCACACCAACCACAACTGCACACCAACCACAACTGCACACCAACCACAACTGCACACCAACCACAACTGCACACCAACCACAACTGCACACCAACCACAACTGCACACCAACCACAACTGCACACCAACCACAACTGCACACCAACCACAACTGCACACCAACCACAACTGCACACCAACCACAACTGCACACCAACCACAACTGCACACCAACCACAACTGCACACCAACCACAACTGCACACCAACCACAACTGCACACCAACCACAACTGCACACCAACCACAACTGCACACCAACCACAACTGCTCACCAACCACAACTGCACACCAACCACAACTGCACTCCAACCACAACTGCACACCAACCACAACTGCACACCAACCACAACTGCACACCAACCACAACTGCACACCAACCACAACTGCACACCAACCACAACTGCCTGTCTTGCATCTTCGTACGGATGAACAAGCACGAACTCTTCCCCCCTCAGTGGTGTGTAACATGCACACCATATCATATTGACTGCCTCTCATTCCTCGTTGCTTCGTACGGATGAACAAGCACGAACTCTTTTCCTCCCTTTCCCCTCTCCTTCGCCACAACCCAGCTCCAGTGGTGTGTAACATGCACACCATATCATATTGACTGCCTCTTATTCCTCGTAAATTAAAATTCGAATCACACTTCGCACCCTTCTGCCCCTCCTCGCTCCCTCCTGCTGCGCCTCACCCTCTCCTACCCCACAACTCAAGCTTTACGTGGTGTGTGACGTGCACACCAACTACATTTGACTGCCTCTCTTTCATGCTTCCTTGCTCAACCCGTTCCCCCACCTCTCCCCCCTCCTGCCCCACCTCTTCCCACCTCACCCCATGCAGCTGTTCGTGGAGTGTAGCGTCAATACCTCAAACTCTAATAGATGAGTCCCGTCACAGTTGAATCTCAACTGTGACGAAACTTGTCAAGACCATGCCCCTATCCCTACTCTTATTGACTGCCTCTCTTTACTCTTTACTCAGCCGCCTTTTGAGGCGCCTCAATAATAGACTGCCTCTTGTCGCGTTATTAACACTTAGCTGGCAACTAAGTGTGAATACCACAGCAGCCAAGGTGAGGGTGTACTATAGTTTACCGCTTTTGTACTCTAATTTCATTTGTGTGCTTGGAGTGTATTGTTCTGTACTGCAGAGCCGAGTAGCTGGGGAATTCAAGGTGGTTGGTGGGAGGTGAATTCAAGGTGGTTGGTGGGAGGTGAATTCAATTCCAGCCTGGGAATTCAATTTCGAAGTCACCAGGCTGGAAGGCGAATTCAATGCCAGCCTGGGAATTCAACCCGAAGTCACCAGGCTGGAAGGCGGTGCATGCCTAGTGGGCCCAGTGGAAACCCAGCTAGCACCTTGGAGACCTCGCGAGCAGCTCGGCTGACTCGTTTGGTGCACAGGAGCTTGCTTGTGGAGGAAGCAATCTAGGCAAGGGGAGGGAATAGATGTAGGCAGGAGTAGCACCCGGGCTTCTTGCTTTTTGCTTGTATGTTTCTCGTTTACTGCAATTTGCTTTCCTAATCCGAAGGGAACTAGCAGTAGGAGAAGCTAACAGCAATCTGACTGAGCCCTTGCGAGGGAGTTTAAGACTTGTTGCATGGGAAGCCTGAGATACGAGGAGTGCAGGACAGGGTGATTACGTATACCAGGAGGAAGAAGGGATAAATCTGGTCAGCTGTGCGGGTGACAGGGAGGGAAGGAGAGAAGGAGTAATCAGTTGGATATTCACGGGAGAGTGGGAATGAGAGTTTGCAGAGGAGGATTCACGACACTCTCTTTAGTCTTTACTCAGCCGCCCCTATCCTTACTTCGCCCCTTTCTGCCCCTCCTCGCCCTTTTCTGCCCCTCCTCGCCCTTTTCTGCCCCTCCTCGCCCCTTTCTGCCCCCCCTTGCCCCTTTCTGCCCCTCCTCGCCCCTTTCTGCCCCTCCTCGCCCCTTTCTGCCCCTCCTCGCCCCTTTCTGCCCCTCCTCGCCCCTTTCTGCCCCCCCTCGCCCCTTTCTGCCCCTCCTCGCCCCTTTTTGCCCCTCCTCGCCCCTTTCTGCCCCTCCTCGCCCCTTTCTGCCCCTCCTCCCCTTTACCCCCCCCACCACCACCTATCCCACACCCACAACCCAGCTATATGTGGTGTGTGACGCACACACCAACTACATTGACTGCCTCTCATGCATCCTTGCTCAACCCTTTCCCCCCCCTCTCCCCCCTCTGCCCCACCGTTTCCCACCTCACCCAACCCAGCTGTATGTGGTGTGTGACGTGCACACCAACTACATTGACTGCCTGCGGTGGTATGGCGACTTCGTGCTCTCTAAGGTACATCCCTCTAATATATATATTATTGAAGTGTGGTATATATGCATGTATAAATATATTCTCTGTGTACTGTCTGCGTGACTGCCTGTGGAGTCTTATACCTCCGCTCCGCCTTTTTTTGTCCCCGTGCTGTGTCCATGCTTACTTCCGATTTTTTGTTTCCTCTTATGGTATGTTCCTCTGATTGCACATTGATCTAGAGTGTAGACAACAAGGTCATTCTTTGGCGCTGGTGCCACAAGCCTGTTACACTGACGTTTCCAATATGCTGATGTTTTTCTACGCCTTCACATATAACTTCCATTGTCCCACTGTGCATATCTTATCTGTAGAGTGTGGACAACGAGGTCATCCTATGGCGCTGGTGCCACAAGCACCGAAGTTGTTCAATGTGTATTGGATTCTTATGCTTATGTATATCTGTGCGTTCATCTTATATAGAGTGTAGACAACGAGGTCATCCTATGGCGCTGGTGCCACAAGCCCGGAACTGAACCCGGCTCCGCCCACCCTGCTGAGGTAAGCATATGTCCTGCTGTAAGCATCTTCCTCTGCTGTTGTAAGCATCTTGTACTGCTGAGGTGAGCGTCTTGTGATGCTGATGTAAGCATCTTGCCTTGCTGTTGTAAGCATCCCACTGCCCCGTTAATCATAGCCGCATGCCATTCCATCCGGTCATTCATGCATGTGCATCTCTACCCTGTAATTGAAAGTTTCCGTTTTGTGTTACCCATACACATTTGAGCCGAATCAGGGAACCTTGGACATTTTGCAGCGTTATCCAGTGCCGGATTGCGGGTTCTGGTTCATTAAGTTCGATCTTGACTACATGGCCAATATTATGGCCATAGGTATGCTTTCCTCGCTTATCCATAATTTCTGAGTTAGTTCAGTCATCACCCTCTCTGGTTATAGGTGTGCCTTTTATTTCTTTCTTACCAACTTTCCTTAGTTTTTATATTTAGAATAGAGGTTTTTTTATTCTTCTTCTTTTGTCTTTCTTCCTGTGTGTCTAGATTCCTGTCCTGGTACAATAATTAGACCAGTGATTGCAATTGATTACTGTGGCATATCATGGTCATGTATTGCCATGCCACCCTTTGCCTTCATGGTAGGCAATTTTGTGGGCAAGGTGTATGTGTATGACCTGCAATCCAACCCTCCTATTCGCTCTTAATGACACCATGCCATGCATCCGTTTGTTACCGTGCCACCCACCCACCACCACCACCGCAGGCAATTGCGTGGGCAAGGTGTATGTGTACGACCTGCAATCAAGCCCTCCCATTCGCTCTTAGTGACACCGGATCCGTTTGTTACCGTGCCACCCTTTGCCTCCATGGCAGGCAATTGTGTGGGCAAGGTGTATGTGTACGACCTGCAATCCAGCCCTCCTATTCTCCTCAGCACGTGAGTGGGATGGGCATGACATGGCACATATGTCAGTGTCAAGGCATGTCATGGCGCGTCTAGGTGTGGCATGGTGTTGTATGGAGAAGATGGGTTTACTTCTATTCTTTCCTCTTTGCTTTTTGCCTTTTTCTTGTTTGTGTTCTCCAAAGCGTTTACAGCTGATGACCCTGCCAATGCCGGTGAAGGTTTTGCCTTCATGAATAGTCTTATGTCTCTATGTTTGTTTTTTTTTTTTTTCCCCTCTTTCGTCCCAATTCCCAACAGGCTTTCAAGAAAGGACTGTAAAACGCAAATCAGGCAAACAGCTGTGTCACATGACGGCAGGTAACATCAGGGGCCACCTTTCCGGTATCCTGAACGTGCATGTGTCTGGTTTTCTTTCACTATGCGTCCTTATATATGTATATGCTAGATATGCTTGTTGTATTCTTCTGAACCACGGCAGATAGATCCTGATCCCCCTTTTCTCTCCCCCCCTTGCAGGATAATAATGAGCTGTGATGACGATGGCTGGCTATGGCGATGGGACTTGGTCATGTCCCACGATTGAAATTTGCACCCATATTATGCTATGTACAATTAATGAGCTTGATAATAGTGTGCTGTTAGCCCGTGCAATGAAACTGCAGCATATTTCAGCAATGTCATGCTTTTACATAATACCAGAAGTATTTGCTGTATTTCGGAGGTTTTGTATCTTATGAACTTCCACTTGCACAGGCTAATATTGGTAGGGAATGCTACAACTAGCGACCTATCGCGAACAGCCTCGGGATCCCAAGACATTTCAGAATGACGGGTTCGATTGGGTGTCAGATCAAGAACGTGCGGAAAACGTCTTGTGTAGTTTGCGGGGTGTTTCGGGAACGGGAATACAAGATAATTGGGCGAATCTTTCCACAGCCTCATGTCGAGCGACCCGAGAAAACACGAGAATGAGCAACTGCAAACGCGGGTGAGCCAAATTCTGCTCACTGCATTTTCGGTAGCTGCTCACTTCTAGTGAACTAGGCTATTCGCTCGCCTGCGATTCAGTCGTATCGACTGTTATTTTAGCTGCTAGCCGTGGTGTACTTGTGGCTTCATGCTCGCAGCGCACCCATTCGAAGTACCGCGGCACTGTACAGAAGATTTCTTTCTACGATTGTTGGTAAAATAGAGCGGCCGTGTATCTTACTCAAGTTGTGTGTACGATAGATTGTACATTCTGAGGTCGCCTAGGCTCCGTACAGCTTATTATAGGTGAAGCATTAATTGTAGAAGTTGCGCAAGAACGCAGAATGGCGGTTGAGGCCACGTCATCCATCCTGCAGTTCGCCACGTGGCAGAGCTCCGTTGACGTGTCGTTTTGGGAAAAACTCGCGTCGCTGAAGGTCGACTCGCAAGGACTGAAAGAGGAAGACGTGGCAATTTATGGTAGGCTGGGTGTCGCTTGCTGAAGATTCGATTCGAGTTGCAAGAAAACGACAAATCTGCTGGATTAATATCTGATTCGTGGTATTATCACTGGTCTGCACAGAAGGGGAGGAGGAATTTATAGTTGAATCTGGACTAGGGAAGTCTGGTTAGCTGTATCTGTTCCGTGTTGCTGTCAGCGGCATAATCCTTCGTCCACTGTATATCTTTCTGCGGTCCGCTTATGTCGCTTCATCAACCTGTGTAATTCCCCAAAAAAAATTCCTCCCTCACAGGTTTCTTCACGCCGTCCTCACACTCTCAGCTCCCCTCCTTCCTCTCCCTCTCCTCCGCCTCGTTTCCCCCTTCCCCTCCCCCACCTCCTCGGTTCCACCTCATCCAACCGATTGATGCCACCCATGCTACTGCCGTCACCACTGCTGACGTCAGCACTGCTGGCGTCACTGCTTCTGGCGGCAGCAGCGGTATCAGCACAGATGTTACCGACAGCAACAGCAGGAGCAGCAGCAGAGATGGGCGGAGTGCGGTAACCAGGGGTGAAAGAAATTTGGTGGTTACCACCAATGATGGCAGGAGCGTGGTGGCGGGAGTGCTTCGAATTGCCAACACAGTGGAGTCGTTTCGAGCGTTTGACCGGCGGACGATGATGGAGGGAGTGGCGCAGCAGGTGAGAAAGGATGAGAGGGATTGTGGTTACCGGTGTGGTGACTGGTGCGGTTAACAGCATGGCTGGGAGAGTAGGGCAACAGGTGAGCACCCGCCCCTCTCCTCTCCGTCTCCCGCCCGTCAGTGTGCTACCATCGCCCACCTCCCGCCCCAGCCTCCCCTCAGCTTTGGCAGGATCTTCTATCCGGCAGGGCATGAAAGCACTCTTCTCTCCTCCACGCATTCTTCCTCCTTGTCTATCCGGCACCAAGCACTTAGAGGGTCTTTCCTCTTCCCTCTCTATGCCTCCTCCTCCCCTCCACGTCACCATCCCTCAGCTGTGGCACAACATGCTATCTGGCAGGGCAGAGCGTCTCTTGTCTCTCCTGAACGCTTTCTTCCTCCTCGTTTATCCGGACATCAAGCACTGGCACTTCCTCTCCTCTCTCTGTGCCTCCTTCCCCTCTGCCCCTCCTCCCTTCAGCTGTGGCACGCATGCTATCTGGCAAGGCAGAGCACCACCCATTTCTCCTTGACGCGTTCTTCCTCCTCGTCTTCCCGGACATCAAGCATTGGCGATTCCTCTTCTCTCTCTATGTGCCTCTTCCATAACCCCCACCACCCTCTCAGCTATGGCAGGACATTCTGTCCGGCAGGGCAGAAAAGCACCCGTCTCTCCTGAACGCATTCTTCCTGCTCGTTTATCCGGACATCAAGCACTGGCGCTTCCACTACGCCTTTGCCTTCCCCGCCGTCGCCCTCCCCTCGCCTGCCACCCTCGCCTCTTCCCCGCTGCCGGCAACGCAAGCCTTTTCTTCCCAACTGGTGAGTCTTCCTATCCTCTCACTCCCAACTGGTGAGTCTTCCTATCCTCTCACTCCCAACTGGTCAGTCTTCCTATCCTCTCACTCCCAACTGGTGAGTGTTCCTATCCTCTGACTCCCCTTCTCGCCTCAACTCACTTTGCTGCACTTTTGCGTTCCTGCTTGCTTCTACCTTCCCTGCCATCTCCCGTGTGATGAGGCGATTTTTGAGTCGACTCAAAAATCACTTTTGCGTTCCTGCTTGCTTCTACCTTCTCTGCCATCTCCCTCCCCTCCTCTGCCATCCTAACTTCCCTTCCTCTTCCTGCAACTCAGCCCTTCTTACTCTGATTTTTGAGTGCTCCTCACTCTCCTCTTTTACCCCCTCATCCCCCCTCTGCCCTCCTTGGTTTTCCCTACCATACAGGCAGAGTCGATCGAGAAGGAGTGTGAGCGATGGAGACAGGGAGGGCGGGAAATAGGGGCAAGGGAAGAGAAAGCAGCTGCATTGGCTAATTGCCTCTCATCCTTTTCCCTCCTCTTGCACCCCCCCCCCCCCGTTCCTCCTACCATACAGGCATAGTCGATCGAGAAGGAGTGTGAGCGATGGAGACAAGACGGGAGTGGGAGAGGGGCAAGGGAAGAGGAAGCAGCTTCGTTGACTGGCGAAGAGGGAGGGCTGGAGGAAGTAGGGGAGGGGCTGGCTAAGGAAGCTTTTAAGTCGACTCAAAAGGAGGGGCCAGCTAAGGAAGGAGAATCTGAGTTGGAAGCAACACTAGTGGAGAGAGGCTCCCCGTACTTCTTACTTTATATAGACTCCACCACCACCACCAGTACCAGCTCAACACAGCCCTCAGTAGCAGCGCAGGCTTCAGTAAAAGCACATCCGTTAACAGAGTACAGGCAGCTGGCAGCCCAAAACGAATCCTCCTCCTCCTCCTCTTCCCCCTCCTCTCCTCCGCAGCTCCTCGTTGCATTCTTCGACCCCTGCCATCTGCCTCTCTCCCCCGGCTGGCCCCTCCGCAACCTGCTCCTCCTCGCCTCGCTTCGCTGGCAGGTCAGTGATCTGACATGCCTCAAAATCTGTTTTTCGACCCCTACCATCTGCACCTCTCCCATAGCTGACCCCTTCGCAACCTGCTAATCCTGACCACCTGCAACTGCACAACCCCGTGTTCTACCCCCCCCCCCCCCCCCCCCTCTATCTACCCCTCCCAAACCACCTCCCTCCATGTGCTCTGCCTGCGGCAGCGCCACGGTCGAATCAACCTGCACCACTCGCTTCTGACCATGCTCCAGTCACAGTTGCATCCCTCTCCATGCCTTACCCCCCCTCTATGCATCTATCCCGCCCAGGCCACCTCCCACCATGTGCTCTGCCTGCGGCAGCGCCACGGTCGAATAAGCCTGCACTTCTCTCTCGCTTGATGCCTTTCTATCACCCCCCACCCACCCTTCTCGCCCCTCCCTTGCCCCTCCCCCTCTCAGGCCACCTCTCTTCACGTGCTCTGCCTGCGGCAGCGCCACGGTTGCATCAGCCTGCACCACTCGCCGCTGCTGCACGTCCAGATACCACCCCCCCCAGGCAAGTGATGCCACTTCCCCCACAAATACCACCTCCCTCAAGCAAGTGATGCCACTTCCCCCACAGATAACACCTCCCCCAAGCAAGTGATGCCACTTCCCCCACAGATAACACCTCCCCCAAGCAAGTGATGCCACTTCCCCCACAGATACCTCCTCCCTCAGGCAAGTGATGCGACCCTTCCATTAGGCATTTGAAATATAAAGTGTTGCTTGCTAGTGCTCTCTTCCCTGTATTTCCTCATTCTGAGGGTTTAGCTACTTTCACTGGTGCCATTCTCACTCTTCTCCCTCGCAGCTGATTGGCTGGACCCTCTCACAGCACCTGCCACGTGTCCATCTGCCACTGGCTGGGAGCTGAACGCCAATGGGCGAACCGGGGCACGGTGCGCTGACCTGGCGCCGCTGATGGACCCTGCCAGGCTGGCAGACGAGGCGGCGTCGCTCAACCTGAAGCTGATGAGGTGGCGCGTGCTGCCACAGCTGCAGCTGGAGGGGTTGAATGCAACAAAATGTTTGCTTCTAGGCGCCGGCACCCTTGGTTGCCAAGTGGCTCGCTCTCTCTTGGTAAGGAAAAGCCTCCCTCCGACAGCCTCTCTTCTGGTAGGGCATCGTCGCTCACCCTGAAGCTGATGCGGCGGCGCATGTTGCCACAGCTGCAGCTGGAGCGATTGAACTCAACTAAGTGCTTGCTTCTAGGGGCTGGCACCCTTGGTCGCCAAGTTGCCCGCTCTCTCCTGGTAAGGAAAAACCTCCCTCTAAAACCCTCTCTTCAGTCGAAGTTTGATGAGGTGGTGTGTGCTGCTGCCACAGCTGCAGCTGGAGCGATTAAATGCAACCAAGTGTTTGCTGTTAGGAGCTGGCACTCTTGGGTGTCAAGTGGCACGCTCCCTGCTGGTGAGTCTGTCTGTCTATGTGTGGGCTTGTGGTGAGAGGAAGGGAGAGGCCACAGTTGAACCTCATGAGGTGGTGCGTGCTGCCACAGCTGCAGCTGGAGAGGTTGAATGCCGGCACCCTTGGTTGCCAAGTGGCTCGCTCTCTCCTGGTAAGTAGATTCTTTCTTCCAACAGCCTCCTTCCAACAGCCTCTCTTTCGTGGGGCATTTTCATTCAACCTGAAGCTGATGAGGTGGCGCGTGCTGCCACAGCTGCAGCTGGAGCAGTTGAATGCAACCAAGTGTTTGCTTCTAGGGGCCGACACCCTTGGGTGTCAGGTAGCGCGCTCCCTGCTGGTGAGTGTGTGTGTGAGCTTGTGGTGAGAGGAAGAGAAGGGAGAGTTCACAGCTGAAGCTGATGAGGTGGCGCGTGCTGCCACAACTGCAGCTGGAACGACTGCAGTCAAGCAAGTGTTTACTGTTGAGGATTGGGACCCTGAGGTGTCAGGTGAGTTCATGGTTGAAAGAGGTGGAGTGAGGTAGACAAGGCATCGTGGCTCAACCTGAAGCTGATGAGGCGGTGGCGCGTGCTGCCACAGCAGCAGCTGGAGCGGCTGCATGCAACCAAGTGCTTGCTGCTGGGGGCTGGTTGGCACTCTCTCGGGCCTCCGGTGGCTTGCTTGCTCAGGATAAGAGAGCAGGAGAACGAATGAAGCACCTGCTTTGAAGCGCTGCAAGTCTTAATAATCCGCAATCCACACACTGCTGGGGCTTGTGCGTCCTTCTCCCATTCAATAAAAGTTGAGTTTTGAGACGTCTCAAAACTTTACTTTTATCATGAAGCGCTGGATTTCGTCATGATTCGCTATCCACATGCTGCTGGGGCTTGTGCGTCCTTCTCCCATTCCACCACTCGATTGACTTTTAAGATTTCATGGAACTTAATCCAAAACTCGCAAAGCACTTGCTGTTGAGGTTCTTTAATGTTTTATTCCTTTCGAGTGCTGCCATCCCGCCACTTCCCAAATCCGCCAGGCATGGGGCATTCGCGACATTACCCTCGTGGACTACGGGGCGGTTTCGTATTCTAACCCCGTGCGGCAGTGCCTCTTCTCTGTCAAGCACTGCCTGAATGGCGGCGCTCCAAAGGCGCAGGCGGCAGCAGAAGCACTTAAGGAAATACTTCCCACTGCTGTGAGTGTGGTGTGGTGTGGCGTTGATGTTAAGAGCCAGTACAATGAAGCATTTATAAGCACTGTCTGAATCGCGGCTTTGTACCAAATGAAGCAGTAGAAGCAACTTCAAGCCATTTTCTCTTTTGAACACTGCTTGAATGGAAGCGTGCCGAAGGTGCAGGTGGCAACAGGAGAATATAAGGTTGTGAATGCAGATTCAAATGGCTGTGTTTAAGCCACCTTCACCTGTGAATGACAGCTGTGAATGACAGCTGTGAATGACTCATTCTTCTTGGAGGAAACCTCAAAATCACACAAGCCTTCCTTGTATTCTTCCTTTCCAATCATTTGCAATTATCCCCATTCAGCATCCCATCCCCCTCACATAGCCAACCCTGAACCCTGAAATGCCTTGTTGCTGTTCTCGTCCCCCTATTCCTTGTTGCTGTCCTTGTTGCTGTTCTCGTCCCCCTATTCCTTGTTGCTGTCCTTGTTGCTGGTCTCGTCCCCCTATTCCTTGTTGCTGTCCTTGTTGCTGTTCTCGTCCCCCTATTCCTTGTTGCTGTCCTTGTTGCTGGTCTCGTCCCCCTATTCCTTGTTGCTGTCCTTGTTGCTGGTCTCGTCCCCCTATTCCTTGTTGCTGTCCTTGTTGCTGTTCTCGTCCCCCTATTCCTTGTTGCTGTCCTTGTTGCTGTTCTCGTCCCCCTATTCCTTGTTGCTGTCCTTGTTGCTGGTCTCGTCCCCCTATTCCTTGTTGCTGTCCTTGTTGCTGTTCTCGTCCCCCTATTCCTTGTTGCTGTCCTTGTTGCTGTTCTCGTCCCCCTATTCCTTGTTGCTGTCCTTGTTGCTGTCCTCGTCCCCCTATTCCTTGTTGCTGTCCTTGTTGCTGGTCTCGTCCCCCTATTCCTTGTTGATGTCCTTGTTGCTGGTCTCGTCCCCCTATTCCTTGTTGCTGTCCTTGTTGCTGTTCTCGTCCCCCTATTCCTTGTTGCTGTTCTCGTCCCCCTATTCCTTGTTGCTGTCCTTGTTGCTGGTCTCGTCCCCCTATTCCTTGTTGCTGTCCTTGTTGCTGTTCTCGTCCCCCTATTCCTTGTTGCTGTCCTTGTTGCTGGTCTCGTCCCCCTATTCCTTGTTGCTGTCCTTGTTGCTGTTCTCGTCCCCCTATTCCTTATTGCTGTCCTTGTTGCTGTTCTCGTCCCCCTATTCCTTGTTGCTGTCCGTGTTGCTGTTCGCGTCCCCCTATTCCTGGTTGCTGCCCTTGTTGCTGGTCTCGTCCCCCTATTCCTTGTTGCTGTACTTGTTGCTGGTCTCGTCCCCCTATTCCTTGTTGCTGTCCTTGTTGCTGTTCTCGTCCCCCTATTCCTTGTTGCTGTCCTTGTTGCTGGTCTCGTCCCCCTATTCCTTGTTGCTGTCCTTGTTGCTGGTCTCGTCCCCCTATTCCTTGTTGCTGTCCTTGTTGCTGTTCTCGTCCCCCTATTCCTTGTTGCTGTCCTTGTTGCTGTTCTCGTCCCCCTATTCCTTGTTGCTGTCCTTGTTGCTGTTCGCGTCCCCCTATTCCCCATTCCCTCTCCCTTTCCTTCTTCCAGCGCTCCTCCCACCATCGCTTCACCATTCCCATGCCAGGTCACCCTGTGTGAGCCTCTGAGAGGTGCCTTTTGGATCTCTGGAGCACTCAAAAACTCCCTCCAATACCCCTTCGCAATCCCCTATCCCCTTCGCAATCCCCTATCCCCTTCGCATTCCCCTTCCCCTATCTCCCTCCCACCCTTCCGCCTCCCACCCTTCCCACTCGCATCCTTCCACCTCCCACACTTTCCCCCCCTCCCCGCCCTTCTTTCTGCCCCCCATCCAGCACACGTCGGGCCATCGCCTCGCCATTCCCATGCCAGGTCACCCCGTGTCGCCCTCTGAGGCGCCACGTGTGCAGGCTGACGTGGCAGCCCTGCTGGCGCTCATCCGCCAGTCGGACGCCGTCTTCCTCCTCACCGACACAAGAGAGAGCCGCTGGCTGCCCACCCTTTTGTGCGCGGCCGAGGGAAAGGTGAGGGGGGTGCAAAGGGGGAAAGGGAGGGGTGGGTTTAGGTTTAGGATTTAGGATTTAGGATGAGGGAAGGAGAGGGGTTGAGGTAAGGAGAGGGGTTGAGGGAAGGAGGGCCGCTGGTCTCCCACCCTGCTGTGCGCTACTGAGGGAAAGGTGAGGGGGAGGGGAAGGGTACCAGTCAGGGGTTTCGGGGTTTAAAATCCAGGATTTAGGGTGAGTGAGTGGGGACGCCACCATCCCTCCCCTTACATTCCATACCACCCTCCCTTGCAACCACAACCCACTTTGGTGGCCATCAATGCTGCTCTCAGCTTCGACTCCTTCCTTGTCATGCGCCACATCACATGTGGCATCACCATTACTTACCGTGCCATGCCATACCCTACGGGACAACACCACTTACCATACCCATGCCACACTCCACCATGCCACACTCCACCATGCCACACTCCACCATGCCACACTCCACCACGCCACACCACACCATGCCACACTCCTCTCAGGTGGCCATCAATGCTGCTCTCGGCTTCGACTCCTTCCTTGTCATGCGCCACGGGGCGCCACCACTGCCTGTGCATGCCACGTCAGCACCAACAGCATCCGAGTCCGCACCAGCAGCGTCTGAGTCAGCGCCAGAGAAGTCTGAGTCAGTGCCAGCAGCATCTGAGTCAGCGCCAGCAGCGTCTGAATCTGCGCCATCCAAACGCCTCGGCTGCTACTTTTGCAATGATGTTGTTGCCCCTCTCAATGTGAGCTACCTTACCCTCGTGTCCGCTGAACTGCTTCCTCCCAATGTGGGTCACCAAACACCGCTGCCCCTCAGTACCGCCAGCTTTCCTCAGGACCGCCAGCTTTCCTCAGTGCCGCCAGCTTTCCTCAGGACTGCCAGCTTTCCTCAGTGCCGCCAGCTTTCCTCAGTACCGCCAGCTTTCCTCAGTACCGCCAGCTTTCCTCAGTACCGCCAGCTTTCCTCAGTGCCGCCAGCTTTCCTCAGTGCCGCCAGCTTTCCTCAGTGCCGCCAGCTTTCCTCAGTACCGCCAGCTTTCCTCAGTGCCGCCAGCTTCTCACGACCTCCCTGCCGTATGCCACACTCCCCCAGACTCCCAGACTCCCCCACACTCCCACACTCCCCCACACTCCCACACACTCCTCCACACCACACACACGATCACTGCAGCAATGTCGTTGCCTCCCTCAATGTGTTTTTCTGTGCTGCTTCCCCTCCCTGTCACCTGCTCTCTGCACCATTCTTCATATGCTATCTAACCTTACCCCAACCTCCTGCAAGGTCTCATGTCCCCCTTGCCATCGACATGGTCATTATTTCTTCTCCATCCCATCTCACCCCCCAGATGTCAACCGCACCCATCGTACGCTCGACCACCAGTGCACAGTCAGCTGCCTCTCCCCTCCCACTCCGCCCTTGCTTCTCTACACCTTCCGTTCCCATATGACCCCGCCAGTCCACCACCCATTGTACGCTGCTGCCCTTCCCTTCCTGCTCCTCGCATCCCTGTCCCATCGTTTCTCCTCTCACCCGTCCCCATTTACCACCACTCCACAGCTCATCGCACGCTAGGCCAGCAGTGCACAGTCACGCGCCCTGGCCTGGCGGTCATAGCGGGGGCCCTGGCTGCTTTTCCGTGGGTGTTTTTTTTTTCTCACTCCATGCTTTCTCCTCTCACCCGTCCCCATTTACCAAAGGTCCACGGCTCATCGCACGCTAGGCCAGCAGTACACAGCAGCTTTGGTCTGGCAGCCATAGCAGGGGCTCTGGCTGCGTCTGTGTGTCTGCCACCGCTTGCTCTTCTCCCCTCGCACTCCACCCTTGCTTCTCTACGCCTTCCCTTCCCATACATCCCCACCAGTCCACGGCTCATCGCACACTAGACCAGCAGTGTACAGTCACGCGCCCTGGCCTGGCAGTCAAGTGGGGTCTCTTGCTACCTTGCTGTCTGTGTTGCTGACTTCGTACTCACTCCTCATCCCTCTCACTCCTCATCCCTCTCACTCCATTCCCCTTCCCTCCCCATGCATCCCCCCGCCAGTCCACGGCTCATCGCACGCTACACCAGCAGTGCACAGTCACGCGCCCCTGGCCTGGCGGCCATAGCGGGGGCTTTGGTGGTCTTGCTGTCTGACTGTTTGAGGTGCTTCCCCCAGCTACCTCCATCTTTCCTTGCTGCCCCCTCCCTTCCCACATTTCCCCGCCAGTCCACCGCTCATCGCACACTAGCCCAGCAGTGCACAGTCGCGCGCCCTGGCCTGGCGGCCATAGCAGAGGCTCTTGATGTCTGACTGTCTTTCTCTGTGCGTTGCTGCCCCCAGCTAATTCCATCACTTCATCTCCACCTATACCTGTTCCCATGTTCCCTACACCTGGCAGTCCACGGCTCATCGCACGCTAGACCAGCAGTGCACAGTCACTCGCCCCGGGCTGGCAGCCATAGCGGGGGCTCTGGCAGTGGAGCTGTTGGTGGGTCTGCTGCACCATCCCATGGGGTGAGTTGTTCACTTCACAGTGTTAGGGGGGCCTTGGGCTGGAACGTGGCAGGTTGCAGGTGGCCAGTCCGGGGTTGATGGAGCAGTCTACAGAGCTGTTGGTGGGGCTGCTGCACCACCCACTCGGGTAAGGGTTCTAATGTAATAGGAGGCGACATAGGAGGAGACTATAATACACTGAGAAGGTTCGGCTGTGAGGCTCTAGTGTGTATGGGGGTTTGCGGATGAAGGAGCAGGTGGTGATCTGGCTGGCAGCCACAGCGGGGGCTGTGGCAGTGGAGCAGTTAGTGGGGCTGCTGCACCATCCACTGGGGTACGGGCTGGCTGAAAGGGTTCGGATTCTGTGGCTTCTAGAGTTGGGGTTTGAAGGAGCAGGCGAGTGATCTGGTAGCCATAGTGGGGGCTGTGGCAGTGGAGCTGCTAGCGGGGCTGCTGCACCATCCCGTTGGGTAAGTGCTTAGAGGCACACAGCAAAGCTGAGTGACTGGTTTCCCCTTGATGCTGTGGTGTGGTGTGGGGTACAACAACTCACTGCTGCACTGCACAATCCCATTGGTTGAGTTGTACTCACAGTGTTACTACCGCACACATCTCTAAGATGTGGTGTTAGGAGGTCCATCCTGTAGTTTTAATAGCAGTTACTTCGTCTTGTCCTCATCTCTACTCTACTCATCGAAGTCACTCCCCCACCAACCAACTCGCTGGGCGGCTCTCTCTCCATTTCCACGATAGCTAGCCTGTAGACAACTCCCTCCTCTCCCGCTCTTGTGACTCATTCACAGTCTAATCCCCTCCCAAAACCCTCCGCCACCCTCTCAGAATCGCAGCACCAGCAGAAGACACCAGTGCTGATGGGGTTTCTGCCTCTGCTTCTTCCCACCTCTGCTCGCCTCTGGGTCCACTGCCTCACCAGCTGCGCGGCTTCCTCTCCTTCTTCTCCCAGCTGCCCATCACTGGCTTCGCCTTCCACCAGTGCACCGCCTGCTCCCATACAGTGAGAATTCAGCATTGCGAATTAATTTATCTTAATATGTATGTTTATATATGGAGATAAATCTCACATCCTTTTCCTGCTCTCATATGGCTGGTTATCCTCAACGCAGGTGGTTTCAGCATACAGGGAGCGTGGTTTTGCGTTCCTTATGGGCGCGTTTAACGATCCCACGTATTTAGAGAGGATCACAGGCTTGGATAAGCTGCACGCCGCCACTGTAGAGATTGAGGTCGATTGGGACGATAGTGAGGATGACAATAGTGAGGACTTCGGGGAATTAGTGAGTGAATGATGGCCGTTTCTTGGCAGTGTACAGAGAAAGTACAACCTTAATATGATATTGTACAGAGCAGATACTAATATATTTTATGATTGAGAGACCGCCACCAAAGTATACCCTCGCCGTCATTTAAGGTTGTCTGTTGATGATTTAGTAGCATGATTGTAACTCAGCACATTAGATGTATTTTTGTTCCTACTCCATACAAACCTTGCTCTAGTGGGCTGTACCCTTTACAGGGCCTATCGGTTGGCAGGAGGAATTATGGGATGTGTTTATCACTTTCATTTTACTCAAACCCTGTCCGGGCAACCTCTAGCAATTTCAAGGGCAGGTCTGGTATGTTTTCCTCCTCGCTGGCAAGCATTTTCGTTGGATGCTACTAGAGTACAAATTCTCGAACTTGCCAGGTAGGAGAGAAAGGCCTCGTCACTTTGGTCTTGGGTTCCTCATTCGACTCTATCTGAACCAGAGAAAATTGTATGGAAATGTGGTGGAAGGGTAACCGAAAATAAAATTGGTGCCTTTGTTTTATCTTGGTGTGGCGACCATTACACCTCGTTATAGGCGCGAATGGATCACACCAACCACTACTGCCCACACCGCGCCGCGCCGCACCGACAACGTGACATGCTGAAAAAAAATGCAGAACCGCACGGAAAGCTATATGTAACGTACGAAAACACGATCATCAGATAACAAACCGAGCATAAGCTAAGAAAGAAATGCAACACCCATCCTTGGCGCTAAAGCTAGCCCCACACCCACACCCACCAAATGCCATGCTGATGTCGTATGGCGCTGATTTTCTTTGTAAGACATTCTCACCTAATCCAAGCTTCTGTTTGTTTGTTTCCCAGGCTCGTTCGTCCTCCTTAGTTCTAAGCGTGCTGTCGGTTGCTGTTCCTCCATCAATAGCCGACCCTTGCTTGCAGAGCATCAGAAAGTTTGTGAGCCATCCTCGAACAGGCATCCAGCAAATCGAGTTTCGAGGAGCACCAGGGGGTGCTCTGGAAATGATTCTGTACAGTGGGTTTTTACCTGTGCGGCTGGGTTGGGGTGTTTGAGGGGGGGAATGGTCGAAACTAGTGTGTAAGGGCACGGAGTTGGGTGGCATGGGAGTGGGTGGATCGTTCGATTTGTGAAACAAGTGAACAGGAATGAAATGACTAAGGAAAGATTGGGTACAAATACAACCCTAGAAACCCTGTACCCCATATGTGCTACCCCACTATAGCCTACAGCAACTATGTCATATAAATCTGACACACCCCCATAGGCAAAGTGGGGGAGAACAAGGGGTCACAAGACCAGTCAAGTAAAGCAAAGCAGAGCAAGCTCAGGGTGGATCACAACGTCACCACACAGTCCGAGCACAAGAGCAGGGCCAGAGGCCAGTTCACATGCAGGAGTACAGACAAATATATATAAAACTAGACAAGCAAGAGCAGGTATATATATGTCACAGTACAAGTAAAGTCAAGAGGAGAGCAAGTGAGGCAAGACAGGCACAAGACCCAGCTGGGTGCAGAGGCGCTGATGGTCACAAGGCGCGAGTGCCTTGGTGAACACATCAGCAGTGTTGGCCTCACAGGCCACGTACGCAAGCCGCAACTGTCCACGCTGCTGCAGCTCACGAGCAAGGAAGTAGCGAAGAGCAATGTGCTTCGTTCTGTGCTCCAGACGCTGCTCTCGACACAAGGCCAGCATGGCCTTGTTGTCTACGTACAGCACTGGAGGAGAACGAGGCGGCTCTCCAAGGTCAGTCAGCACGTAGGTGAGCCAGCGAAGCTCCTGTGCAGCCATGGCCCCAGCGTAGATCTCAGCCTCACAACTGGAGCTGAGAACAGAAGACGAGCGAGTAGCCCGCCACGAGACAGAGCCGGAACCAAGACTGAAGGTGTAACCCTGTGACGACCGCTGCGTAGCCTGGTCGTCAGCCCAAGAAGCGTCCGCGTGCCCTGTAAGGACCACTGGACTCCGCCCTCCAAGCACTAGCCCCATGCCCGACGTACTGCACAGGTAGCGCAACACCCTCTTCGCTGCAGCCATGTGCTCTGGTCGGTGTCTCCCAGGAGCAACATAGCGTGCAAGAATGCTCAGAGGGTATGCAAGGTCAGGTCGTGTGCAGGTCATCAGGTACATGAGGCAGCCAACAAGCTCTGGGTACGGGCCACTCGACTCTACGGACTCATCCGAAGGCAGAGCTGAGAGCGAGTGGCGAGTAGACAGAGGAGTGGCCTGAGGCGAGGAGTACGTGAAGCCGAAGCGCTGAAGGACCTGCTGCACCATGTGTGACTGAGTCAAGGTAATGGTGCGGCGTGCTCTGTCCCGAGTGATCTGCAAGCCAAGGTAGCTGCACAGTTCACCCAGGTCTGTGCACGTGTGTCTCTTCAGCAGCTCGGACTTCACGTAGGCGAGTCCAGCAGTGTCCGCTGTGGCAAAGACCAAGTCGTCGACGTACACGAGGATGTAGAACGGCGGCAGAGAAGTGTCGGTGCGCAGAAACAGCGACGGGTCAGCAGTAGAAGGAGCAAACCCAAGAGCCGCAAGCGTAGTCCTCAGTGTGTCGTGCCACTCACGCGGTGCCTGGCGGAGACCGTAGACTGGCCGACGGAGGCTCCACTGGGTGCCAGGAGGGAAAGTCCCAGTGAAGCCAGGTGGACGGTGCAGCCAGATCTCCTCGTGCAGGCTACCCTGCAGGAATGCAGTGCTGAAGTCGAGAGAGTGAAGCTCGTAGTCGCGCTGAGCGGCTATGTGCAGCAGCACCCGAAGAGTGGTCATCTTCGGGGTGGGAGAGAAGGTCTGAAAGTAGTCAACTCCCTGCCGCTGACTGAAGCCACGAGCAACGTACCGCGCCTTGAAGACAGGTGGAGAGCCCGGCGGCCGCTTCACCCTGAAGATCCACATGCCACTGACGATGTTCGCCCCAGGAGGGGGAACTGCGTCAACGTAGGTGCCTGTGGACTTCCAGGAAGCCATCTCTGCATCCATAGCTGCCTGCCACTGAGACGAGTAGGGACCCTCTACGGCCTCCGCGTAAGAGCGCGGAGTCGGGATGTCTAGTGCATCCGGGTCTCCCTCAGGAGCAAGCAGTACAGACGCGAGATGAGGTGAAGCAGCCGCCAGACACTGTAACTCCTCCTGCCTGTCCTCTAGGACGTCCGTGCCAAGAGCACAGTCACCCCCGACGGACAGAGGACAGTCAGACGCTGACTCAGCAACAAGACTAGTAGCGTAGTCTAGACGACAGCGAGCAGCAAATTCGACGAGCTCAGCGACAAGGGCAGACGCAGCAGTGGACTCAGACGAGGGGTCAGTGACGACAGTAGCAAGGAGACGCGTGACAGTAGGACTGGCAGCACGAAGAGAGTCCGACTCAGGGTCGGCAAGCGCAGGAAGAGAGGACTCAGGAGGAGAAGGCAAAGGGGCACGCAGAGGAGCAGTGGACGGACGCAGAGACATCCGGTGCGTGCCAGGGACAGGAGGAGGACGCTGACGCGAACCGTGAACACTAGTGCGAGCAGCACGAACAGGCGACGCAGGACGAGACGCAGGCTCACGACGCTCAGTAAGACCTCCAGTAGGACCAGTGTAAGGAGAGGGAGCAGGCAGTGGAGAGGAAGGCTCCAACAGGGACTGCGACTGGACAGGCTGTGGACACTCTACCGGAGGAGAAAGACCAAGAACCTGCTGCAGAAGCGGAACGAAGTACGGCCGAGGCCGCGCGGCAACTCCAGACTCAGCAGGGGCAGCACCAGCACCCTCAGCGACAGCACCAGCGCCACCAACACCTCCAGCGGCAGGACCTCCAGCAGCACCAGTAGCAGAACCACCGCCGGGACAGACAGCAGTAGTCTCAGCACCAACACCCTCAGGAGCTCCTACTCCAGGAGTACCCGCAGACCCAGCAGCTCCGGGACCGGCAGCACCAGCACCCTCGACGGTCGAAGAAGCTCCAGCTCCAGCAGCACGCCTCCAGCGGCGAGCAAACCAATCGCGCAGCTCCTGTGGAGAGAGGGGCTCCCGGCGAGACGAAGCAGCAGGAGAAACCCCAGGCTCAACAGCTCCAGACGTAGCACCCCCAGGCTCAGCAGCTCCAGACTCAGTACCCCCAGGGGCAGCAGCTCCCGACCCAGCACCCCCAGACCCAGCACCCCCTAGCTCAGCAGCTCCAGGCACCGTACCCCCCGGCTCAGCACCCCCAGGCTCAGCACCCTCCGCAGTAGCACTCCCAGGCCCAGCACCCCCAGGCTCAGCACCCCCAGTAGCAGCACCTCCAGGCTCGGCACCCCCGCGCACAGCACCCCCAGAGTCAGCACCCCCAGGCTCAGCACCCGCAGCAGCACCAGAGTCACCAGTAACCTCGACCGGGTCAACTGCGTCTACCTGGGACACACCTGAGGGGGCAGGAACCTGAGGGGGGAGGGGGTCTACCCGGGGGGGAACTGGCACAAGGAAGTCCGGCGGAGGGGGGAGGGAAGGAGTGCGGTAGGGGAAGAGGCGGTAGAAGGGGACTGACTCGTCGAACGTGACGTCCTGGGAGGACAGAACACTACGAGAGGAGGGGTGGTAAAACTGCCACCCGGGAGCGTCTGTGGGGAAGCCAAGGAAGACTTAGGGAGCAGCACGAGGGGACAGCTTGTCCGCAGACAAGTCGCGGACAAACGCCCGAGATCCCCAGACACGGAACGCCGACGCATCGCCAACCTTCCCCGTCCACAACAAAGCTGGGGAGGTCTCCGGTTGGGAGACTCTGGGCTGAAGGTTGATCTGATGCGCGGCGTACCGAACCGCAAACGGCCACAGAAAATGGGGGGCAGCCGCATGCACCATGGACGTACGGGCAACGTCCATGACAATGCCGATGCGGCGCTCAGCAATCCCATTCTGCTGTGGAGAGTCCGGAAGCGTGAAGGTCTGGCGGATGCCTCGTGCCCGACAGTAGGCTCGCAGAAGGCCGGAGGAGAACTCTCCGCCTCTGTCCGAATGCAGACGCAGAACAGGAAAGT